TCCCTCTCAAATCAATCTCACCTGGTCATTAGGAAAGCACCTTACAGCTATTGAAGACGAGCGTTCAATAATTCTTTCAGGTAATAGAAAAAGAAATCACGCCTCGGTAAAGGCAGGTAAAGGCTTCATAAAATATTATCTAAAATAACTCTTATAAGCATTTCTGGATTTTCGGCAAGTCCAATTACATAATATAAAACTGGCGCTTTATGTTCTAACTGGTGTGTTAGTGACCGCTAACAGAAAATGCTGATCAACGGAGCCAATGGAATTAGATTATAAGTGAGCATGAACCTTACTTACGGCTAATTCACATGATGGTGAAAACCTTGAACACGTAATTCACATGACGGTGAAAACCCTGAACACAATATTTCTTACGCGAGCTGTTGACTTTACTAATAAAATGACGTCTTCTTCTGAAAATGTTAAAATTTGATACCTAACCGTTGTTTGAGAGCAATTTTTAACTATATAGCATTAGTATTTAATAATTGTAATTTTTATGGCTGTTTATAGTGACAAAAAACAATTTATTGCCACTTCTTTGCTATTGACGTCATTAAAAACTCAAGTAAAATTTTTGATTGAAAGGCAATTGTGGCTCGCACGTCCTTGGGGATTTGAGCGAAGATCATTATTTGGAAAAATCAAAATAGATGAATGTTTTTCTTTCTTGGATGCTCACTAGTGTTTTGATGCCTTGCATATCAAATTAGTTTTAGACTTGCTCAGAAGGCTGCGCTAAGCCTGGCATATCACACCCCAGAAAATATGCAAGGTAAGAAAGAAGCAAGAGTTTTGACTAGACAATCACTGTTTGACAGTCCATCAACTTCAGTTTCATTTTCCATACCTAACATTGATAATGAAAAGCACCAGGGTCTGTTCTGTCCCACAACCATGCTTCAGGATTTGGCATTTGATTTCTACACTGCTAGTGCTTCTATTCTGGTTCGTTGTTTATGTTTTCTGTTGATGTAGGTATCTACCTACCCATCTTTCTTAACCCCTTGCAAGGGCTTGTGTAGGCATGCGTTGCGCATCAGGCTTCAGGCCTTCGGCCTAAAGCCAGATACACAACCACTTAACCTATGATGCTTCATGAGCTTGAGAATCTATAGCCCATTGCAATGTGCTTTTTGCTATATGTTTCAACTAAAAACAACTTAATATTATATACTATTTGGTTGCATTTTATTGAAAGTATCAACGGCCGGCTGACGGCTGGCTGCCCACAGTTTGCCACGGCTGTGGGCGGCTGTGGCTGTGGAGCCACGGCTGCGGGACGGCTAGGCTGTGGAAAATTGCAGCCGTGCAGAACTCTACCTGGGACCCACGTCGGTCGGCTGTGTTTTCGGCCGATTACAGCTATATTACATGGCTGGGCCAGCCCGATATCGCGGGCCGCTCGAACCCAGCCAACATTGACCCGCCGGGCGTGACAAGAGTGCAGTGGCGCGGGAACCGGGGGGGCTAGGGGGGGCTGAGCCCCCCCAGCTTTTCGGCTGGGGGGCTCATAATGTATTTGAGCCCCCCCCCCCCCCCAGCTGGAGGAATCGAAATCGAAAATCTACCAACATAATTTCATAGATTCATACATTGGCGTGGGAACCGGGGGACCGGGGAGGGGGCAGTGGGGGAAGCTTGCCCCCACAACTCTGCGGCCGTGGGGGCGGTGCCCCACAACGTTTCATGAGGCCAGGAACCGTTGGGCAGCTTGTCCTCCCCAAATTAGGGGTTGTGGGTCACAAAAGAAGAAAGCATGCAAGTGAAAAATCCACCTACCTATTTCACTGGCTCGGCAACTCATTTGGCAGATTAAAACCTTTACTCCAGGTTGCCAAAACGGTAGTTTCTTCACTCAGCTGAGACGGAATACCTCACTTTTTGAAAATATTTTCGTTTTTTTGTTGTTGTTGAAAAAGCCAAGGTCTGAAAAATAAGAAGCCTAAAACCGGTGAGAAAACTAGATTTGGGGGTACCCTAGGTTGATTTCTATTATGGTTCAGCCCCCCCAGTCTGGAAGAAGTTCCCGCGCCACTGCAAGAGTGACGCAGAAACGTCTGCCCTCCGGCGGCGGCGTAGGAGCTTCTGCGACGAACTATGGAGCGGCGTATGAAACGAGTTGGGCTCAAGATCAAGGTCATTTATGCATGCCTGACCTTGCAATGTTTCATGTTTGGCATGGTTATGAATTTAGGCATCTGGCAGTGGCATACATGTATTTAGTGCGCTTTCTGAACGACGTTATGAGCTTTGCGAGTTTCGTGGCAAGTATAATCAAAGCAGTTGTTCTTAACATAATAATCTAACACTGTTGTAAGTAGACTTGCTTTACTCTGCTTCGGTTCTGTCCAATTTACATATACATTTAGCCATCTCATGGAGCTGAGGAAGCGGGAGGGGAAGGGGAGAATCGATCCGGACCGAACCAACCCCCGACCGACCACGGGCGGCCGAGGGTGGACCCCTGGTGGACCCCTGGGGCCGTTGGGTCTTTGGCCCTCGGCCCCTGACCGCTGATGCCGCCGCCGCCGCCATCACGGCTCCTGGTGTGCGGTAGATAGACCGGACCCCTTCGCCGTCGCGCGGCCGTTCGCGTCAAGATGGATCACGACCGATCACCGGCATACCTACTGTGCTCGCTAATACAAAATCCGAGCTGGCCGCGGCGCCGGGCCGACGGCGCCATGCGTTCTCGGCGCCTCCTCCGCCGGCCGCCCCCGCCCCCGCCCCCGCCCTCGTCGGCGGCGGCGGGGACAACACATTGCCGAGACATCTCCGAAACCGACGACTTGGGGAGGGGCGAGCGCCGGTGCCACGGTTCTCCTGCGAGCAGATCGCTACCCCTCCAAGTATGCGCTAATAAGGCACCGGAGAGAGACAGAGCGCATAGTTGGAGCAGCGCGCGATAATACAGGGGGCCCGCGGCCGCCCCCACCCCTCCCCGCGCCCCGCTCCCCGCCGCCCCCATTACGACCCCCACCGGTGTTTTAGGCGAGCAGCGGCGTCCGGAGCGGAGGGGTGGCGGCAGCCCCAGCAGCGCCCTGCCGGCCGCCGCAGCCACCCTCCCCTGCGCCGGCGCGTTGCAGGCTTGCAAGCTGCATTGATTGACCCACTGAGAGGGAAGGGAACCATGCCCTAGGGCGGTGCCCCTGTGGCTTTGTTCGGCGCGCGCAGCCCTCCCAGGGTCGCGGGCGGGGAGCTGCGACCGACGGCTGGGTGGGGAGGGTGACCGGGCTGGGGAGGGGCTGCAATATGATGCCAAGAGACGCGCCCGGCGGAAGCAGGTGCCTTTTTGTCATGAGGGCGGGCATGCGCTGGCACGGCCGCCGAAATGGTTACGAGGTGCGTGCTGACACGCAAAGGATTTCTTGCGCGGGGTCTGTTTCCCGGTCCCGTTATCGGCGAGGAAACGACACAAAGGCGGTATGCTGTTTTGCTCGCTAAATTATTGCGATGTTGACACACTGCGATAATATGATAAGATATATCCATTTCTGAGTCCCTTGAAATAGGACCCTCTTCCTTTCTGTTGGAATTGCCACTCCAATTCTGACCCTCGCAGTGCACGGCCTTTCTCAGTCTCCCCTTTCTTCAAACATCCTGTCCTCATTGGCATTTACCCATCAGGCCTTTCCAAACGCCCTGCTATCGGTAGGGTCTCCGTATCTCTTTCTCTCGCCCTGGGAACGGCTCTCCCTTTCCTCCTTATCTGCCGGTCCGTCTCGCTATCTGCCCCGCTGTCCAGTGGTCTGTTGACATCGGTGATGCTCCCTGCCGACTGCGTGTGCGTCCCACGCTTCGACGGTCTCCACGCACCGCTGACCCCCCCTCCCCCCTCCCCCTCCCGGTGCGTGGGACCTGCTCTCGGACGGATGCTAACCACCGCCTGGCAACAAGAGCCGCGCGTAGGGGACAGGTGCCGCGGTGGAGACGGGTGGGGGGGGGGGGGGGCGGATCACAAGACACCGACAGTGTCCAATGGCTACACCGGACATCTATCCACACAACAGCCGGTCGGTTCTTTAACTCAGCTCTCAACCCTGAGACCATTTCCGTCACTGGAGCTGCAGCTCAGCCACCGTAGCTTTGCGATATGAGCTGCCGCGGCCATCAGAGCTTCACGAGCTGAGCTTCATCAACCGCGCGGCCACACCCGATATATCTGACACCGGAGAGGGCCCGAGCCTACCTGAGCCTGCCTTGCCTGTCTCGCAGGTTCCGCCGGTTGTACGGTACGTCGGTAGTACACCGTCTGTCGTCTGTTATGTCGGCGTAAACAGACACATCCGGTCTCTACGCGACCAGCCGGAATACGCGCCGGTCGCGGCGGGGCGCGGCGGGGCTCTCGCGGGTGGGCGGTGGGCGGCAGTCTGGGCCGCGGACGCCGCGGCGGGTTGGTCGGATACCTTCAATGGGGTTTAATGAGGCGGGTGCGTCACGGTTGGACTTAACCGCCGTCGGCAGGGTCACGTGGTAGTACTACCTGTCCGTAGTACGCGCTCGGTTGTACAACTGCGTGTGTGTGTGTGAGAGAGGGGCGGGGGCGGCGGCGGTCGCTCTCGCCGTACGAGTGGGGCGCGGCCGTCTGTCTATGACGTCACCACCCGTCTGGACGGCGGCCAGTATCGATCGGCGGGCTGGCGCCCCGTGTCATGGCCGCACCACCCATCCCGGCGCGACTCTAGACCGGCCCGGTCACCGCGAGGGGGTCAGGAGGGGGGGGGGGGGGAGGCGGTGACAGGAGCCAGCCCAGCCCCCACCGGTCAATGGCGAAATAGGCTACTACTGCCGCCGGCAGTTACGTAAGATGCCGTTTTTTGTCGCCGGGCGCCCGGGCCGTACTCACGAGCCCGTACGCACGCTCTCTGAGGCCAGTCGCCAAGGCCCCCGACAGTCGGTCGTTGCCGGGCGCTCTGCCCCGCCTCTCAGTCATTATCTCCCATTCGTCGAAGCCCTTATCCGGCGCCCCAGGCGCGTGAAACACTTGATTAAGCTCCAGTGATATATTTTACTCCACATAACTATGCCGTTCGGGCTGCTGCTACTACTCTACAACCGAGAAAGCAACTATCCGCACACAATATAAAACTAAGTACTACTCTCCTGTCTTTTACATGTAGCACACGGTCGATCCAGGGAGCGAAAGGAACATGTTCAATTTGGCACACAAAACAATTTAGCGCGGCGGCGATTCGGAGCTTGTTTACAATTCCGGGTGCATCTTGAGCGCCCTCCCCAGGAACCAGGCTCTGTGTTTAATATAATTACTCTATGCTTTGTACTAGCGCCCGTTCCTGGGGACGGCGCCGAGAAGAAGCACCGGGCGGCGTCAAAATGCGAGGCAAATGGTCCCATGTCGCCGGGCGGGGCGCGCGGGCCGCTCCGGCGCGGCGGCCGGGCGGCCCGCGCGCCGGCCTCGGGCGGCGGCCAGAACACGCGCGGGGCGGCGCCGAAACGGGACAGGTCGGGCTGGCCTGCCGAACACACATCTCACCCGCACACGCACACACACAATGTCTGTACAGGCGCGGACCCGGCCGGCCAACACGGCCGGCCGCCCCGCACACTAACAAACCACACACAAAATATATCGATAAAAAACTACCGGGCTCTTAACTGTAAATACACTCACGGCATACACATTGTGCGCGCGACCACAACACGGGCGGCCGGCCGTCGCAGCTACCTCAGGGGCGCACGCGCGCGCGGCCGGCCAATGCCCACCTTCCACGAACAAACGATTCAAAGCGTCGCCGGAGCGACCACAAATTTTACGCTCACCAGCACCGAAATCATGACCAAGCTGTATATACAGGGTGGCAGCCGGGGCGGTCAGTGCGCCGCCGGGCGAATTTCGACGGGGGCCAGGAAATTTGTTGCTAATGACTATGTGTACCTGAGAGGCCGGCTGTGTCCACATTACTCACTGTGCGGTCCAAGTCTGCCGCGCCGGTTACAGCCTACAGAAGCGTGCAATCCTAGCACACACGTCGTTCACTTCATTTCTCTCCGCCTCCGCTCTTCCAACGCTGCAATCTGGCGAGACTACAATTCGAAGAACAGTCTGCGCCTTGAGCAACAAAAGGGGGCCGAAAAGACTCGAAAAGCAAGGCTTTGTCACCAACGTAACTACCTTCACCAGCAAACAACAGAAAACACACTTCCAAGCTCTCTTAAACTAAACAAGCTTCTCGTTAAAAGCAAACTAACCATCCAACCGTTCAAGTGTCTCATGGGTGATGCGCGAACAGGCGAACAATGACAGGAGATGAGCTGACTCCGACGCACAAACACTGTCCTCGCCCTCGCTCCTCTGCCGGGACCACCGCAATGTGAAATTGATTCGAGTCCAGGCCACGGCCGCGGGCGCACTGCCGGCTCAGTGGCAGACGTTGCGCTGCAGCAGCTCGAGTCGCCGCTGCAGCGTCGCCCGCTGCTCCTCCAGTCGTCGCTTCTGCTTGTTGAGCATCTCCTCTTTGCTGCGCAGCATCAGGCAGTACTTGGCCGCTTCGCGGAGCACGGTGATTTTGGGCGCCTTGTCGTTGCCGGCTGTGTCGGGTACCAGACGGCGCAGGCTGTTGAGCGCTCCGCGCAGCAGGTCGCGCCGCATCCGCTCCATATTGTTGTGGTTGTTGCGCCGCTCCGGCGGCGCCTGGTCGTCATCGGAGGGCATGCGACACCGGTCGGAGCGGTACTTCATGGCGCCAGTGGTGCGCTTTCGCGCCTTGAGCGGCCGGTGCAGCAGCCTCTCCTGCAGCGCCTGCGAGTCGACGGGCGCGCGCCGCCGCGCGTGGTGCCGGCCCGTGCGCGCGTCGCTGTTGTTGTCGTCCTCTGCGGGAGGCAGAAACGACTGTTAGTGGAGGGCGGAGGAGGCGGCATAAAATACACAAATACACGTCCCCCAGACACCCGGTCAGACGGCCAGCCGTGCCGCCGCACAGAATGTGAGCGTACGAGCCAGACGGCGGCGTAAAAAGCCGGGCCCCGCCCTCCCACGCGCACATCTTTTTGCTGGTGGCCGCGGCGATGTGACGGAGAGCGCCGAGCGCGCGTCGGCCGCCGAGCAAAAACGCTACCGCTCTCACGGCCGGCCGGTGCCCGGGCGAGCGGCGCACCTCCATTCAGCGGTGGTGGCCGCTGTTACCACGCGCGTGCCACCCACACACGACTGCCGGCCAGACAGACGCCCCGCCGTCGCCGCAGAGCGCTATTTTGGTCGCGAGCGGCGCGACGGCTCTCTGACGCGGCTGGCCGGCGGTTCTCTCTGCTCTCTCACGGCTGGCAGCGGTCTCGAGCAGACGCTCCGTGTCGACGACCCGACGGTCGGCCGGTCGGCCAGACGGGCGCGCCGCCGTCACCGGGCGGAAGCGGCGCACGCGCACGGCCGGCACGGCAGCGTGCATCGATTGTCGACGACCGCGTGCGAGCGGCTACTACGCGCCGCCACGAGAGATCCCGCGTGGCATCGATCTCCCGCACACGAGGGCTCGCCGTGTTTTGAACGGTGACGGCGGCCAGACGGCGGAAGCTAATGCGAGTCGGGCAAAAAATCCACATCGCCTTCCGGCGCCCACTCGAGTGAGTGCGGCCGGCGGGCGCCAAACAGCCGGCCTTGAACTTGGCCGCGCGCGCGAGCGCCGAATGGGCGGCACGGAAGCGCGACGGCAATTACCCACGATCTCGCGCCGGCCGTAGTACTACATCGTTTGTTTTTGTCGTACCGTCGGCTACGCCACGGCCACGGCAAAAAGTCGGCGATACTACGGCGCCGACAGAAAAAAATTGGCCCACCCCGGGGGCTGGTGTGTAAATAACCGGCGATCGGCAGCCCACACCTTTTTCATAGATGGATGACTGGGCGCCGGGGGTAAGGGGCAGGCTCTGTCAGGGGAGGACACGCCGCGACAGCCGGCTCCCAGACCACTGATGGACCCGGAGCGTTCCCAGGACTCCGCTGACGGCCGCTGAGGAGCGCAGTGACTCGCCCAGTCACGCGGAACGCCGGCAAGGACAAACAGCGCGCCGGCGGCGGACGTGCCGGCGCACAGGCGGCCAGTATGCGGCGCCGAGGGCGCAGCCGCCACCGTCTGTAGCCGCTAATGAGCTCTCGCGCGTCAACAGGTCCATAAGCGGGCGATTTTCGCGCGCGCGCCGCGCAGAGGGGAGCCGCTCTGACGCGTCTCCGCGCGGTTCGACCCGCCCGGAACTGGCAACGGTGTTTAAACGGCCGCCGTCTCTGCCCGGCCGGCGCGGCGCCGTGCACGGTACGCCCTCGCTGCCGGACCGGTCTCCGTGCCGGCCGGCGGTCAGCATTCCTCGCGCCGCTCGGTTCCCGCCAAAACTCAGCGCAGCCCCGGCGACCGGACGACCGCCATTGGTCGAGACGGCGGCCAAGGTCAAGCTCGGCCGGCCGGCCGGCCGGCGAGTACAGCCCCCGGCCACGGCTGCCGCCGAGCCGGCCGGCCGGGATTTACAGAGAACTGGGCGGGCGGCCGACCGGCGACCGGCCCGATCGGCACGCGCCCACCGCTCCCCACCCATTGATATCACCCGCACAGGAGCGCGACGGGATAAATTATACCAGATAAATGAGATAAATGATGCGAAACTCACCTGAACTGGACTCTGACGGTGACGGAGACGGTGTGAGGATGCCGATGCAGTTGGTCGCCGAGTAGCTGTGATCGCCCGAGTAACTGCTGTCGCCACTCGGTGAAGGGAGCGCCGGTTTGGACTCGGGGCGCAGGGGCGCGCGCGCCACCTTCACACTGAACTGATTGCGCTTCAGCAGACTGCGACCACTGCTCACCGCCGCGGCCGGCTTTTCGGGCACGGGAGAGAGTCTCCGCTCGATACTCTCCTCCTTGGGCACGCGCTGGATGAGGTCATCACTGTCCGTGAAATGCGACTCCGAATCGGTCTGCGGAGTGTCGGGCCGGCCGAAGCCCACATCGCTCTCCACACTGAGCGCCGGCAGCGGCGAGGTGCCCAGATCGGACATGTCCAGGCGGTGGGCACTGCTGCTGCTCCACATGCAGTCACTGATCACTTTGTCCGTGTGCTCGACAATCACTTTATCCTGGGGCGCGGCCTTCTCGGCCATGTTGAAGATCTGGTTGATGTTGACGCAGCGCATCTCGTCCTGCTCTGGCTCACCGAGCTGGTCCTCGACGTCGGACCACTCGAGCAGAGGCAGCTGCGTGTGACACGGGATCATGCCGAGGCTGCTCAGGTGGGTCTCGGTCGGGCCGCACACGTCGCAGCCGTCGCCCGGCTTTCCGGTACACATGTCGCCGGCGCCGTCCAGAATCGGGTAGAACGGGTACGGGTCGATGGCCGACAGATCCTCCACCTTCACCACTGTGTTCAGGTCGTCCATGCAGAAATCTTCACGAATGCTCCAGTCACCCATGATGTCCGATGTTAAGTTCATTACTGAAAAGGAGAACAAGACGTCATGGACTGAACTGAAATACAACTGATGAAATGAAGGAGTAATTTTCGTTTATAAGCAAAATAGGTTAAGAAAAATATATAAGTATTATTGATGCTTATAAAAATTTGAAGAAGAATGGAAGACAACAGTGTTTAAAATTTTTGAGGTATTTCGCTTCAAGTCTTCTGTCACGTGGCAGAACAGCCATGTAGCTATTCTAAATAATAGAAAAAAATGCGAGAAAAGATAAGTTATTGATACATTTAGAATATGGGTACTTATAATTTTTCACACAAAAAACACAAGTGTCAACAAAAATTTAAAAACAGCAAAAAACTATTTTTTGGAGAATCAAACGACGCTGTGCTTACCTTCAAAACAGCATAACCAGAAGAAACCACCGAATAACACCAAACACCACCCAACAAACAGTATGGAGTAAAATCACAATCGTATCCGCGAGCCGCCGGTCTGCTGGAGAGCGAGCGCGCGCACGTCCACCACGCAGGAGCTCGCGAACTCGAGTGACGCGTCCGCTCGGAAACCGACGCAGCACACCCGAGCGCGGGCGCTTCTGCTGGCTTTTTGGCGGGACCGTCAGGTGGCAGCACCGTACGGCGACTACTCGCGGCCGGCCGCTGTTGCTACGGGCGGCCCTTACTATGGAGTACTATGGACCGGCGAGCGGCGAACGACGGCGGGAGGCGGGGGGCGGGAGACTCACCTGGCCTTTCGAACCGAGGCCAAACAGCCGAGTAATTAGATTTCGTAATGAGGGAAATGTGTTCAGCTGTAGTACCTCCGACGACAAGCGAACTGCTGCAACGTATCATGTGTTATGTTTCTGCGAATGCCTGCAGCGGTAGTGGATCGATAAAGACCAAGCTGGCAAAACGTTACGGCTGATCATGCAACTTGTCGCCGGAAGGCCCTACCCGATAATACCACGTGGCACGTGCCAATCTTGCTGGACGTAAACAATGTTTATCACGCTGCAGGTAGGCCGCGATTATGAGCCGGTCGAGGCCAAGTTGAATGACCTCAAAAATTCAGGTCAATTTCAACATAAGCTTTTTTTTTTTTTTTGAATTTTGCATCCCCGCTAGCACAAGGCTATAGCAGGGGAAGGGAAGTTACTTGCTGGCAATTAGCCAGATCTTTTGTTTTACGTTAAGTTAATTGCCGGCTATTTTATTCCGGCCCACAGAGCCTATTTTAAGGGAATTTGACTGGGGGGGCAACCTGGAAAATTGTCTCTAATAATCCATCAAGGCCCTCGCCCGTATTGGTATTTTCCAGCTGCGAACGTATATGGGGGGGGGGGGGGGGTCCGTTGGACCTTCCCCCTTGCCGTTTCGACCCTGCTCGAGCTAGAGCTTCGTGGAAAAAACGACCGTGTTGCCCGTGATGAAAGGAAGCCGATGATACCCAATTTTAACCCTCGCCGACCCTGGCCGACACAGGGGGGAGGGGTTGATGCAACCCCCTTAAGGTTTTTTCGCGAATAACTCGCGTAAAAAGCTGCCGATTGCAACGAAACTTTCAGTACCCTCGCATTTATCAATTTTGCACCTACCCTGAAAGTTTCATGACCCTGACCCAAATGACCTTTGACCTGTGACCTACTTTCCGAGACAATGTTTGGCCGGAATCACGATTCGGCGTATGTCGACTCGCATTAGCCGCGCTTTTGCAAGCTTTTCGTGCTTTCAAACGTTCAAACATGTGATTTGATGTTGCTCCCATGCATTAGGGTGGATGTCAAGGTCACCTGAAGGTCAGGTCAGGTCAGTGACCTTTGATGACCTCGGTTCACTTTTTCGAGTTTTACATGTTTCAAGGCCAGTTTTTGGAGCTGAATTCGAATTTAGCAACCCGATGAACATTTACGAAGCCTAGTTTTAGTGCCTTTGTAACATGTTACGAAGCTGTCAGAGGCGGTTGACACCTACTAGGAATACCCGGCAGGACCCCTACTGGTTGACCTGACCTGACCTGACCCGACCTGGACTAAATGCATGAAGACATCATCTGTGATCAAAACTCACATGATATCATTCGGATCAGCACCCCGAAAAAACCCATAGCAGCCACACTTTACGACGTTCTAACAGGTCCCGATTTTCCCGATTTTCGGGTCATTGACCTGACCTGGAAGGTCACCCGATGACCTAGGACATTAAAATTGGATATCATCGGCTTCCTCTCGTGAGGGGCAGCACGCTCGTTTTTTCCGCGAAGCTCTAGCTCGATCAGGGGCCAAACGCGAGGGGGGTCGTACCAACCCCCCCTTGTGCCGTCGAAGGACGCAAAATGGCCTGTGCCGGCGAGTGTTAACCCGCGAGTTGCTGGGGGGGGGGCGTTAAACGCCCCCACTTTTTTCGCCGGGCCATAGCATAAAAACGGCGCGCCGCAGGCGCGCCAAATTTTGGGTACCTGTAGGGAATTGATTGAAGTTTATTGTGACAAAGTTTCAAAAAAATCGGTCGGAAAATTTTTGAGATATCGAGGTTTTAGTGACGTCATGATTTCTGAGTTTTCGACCAAAAACGGCATATGTTCAAAAAATCATATAAAATCACAGAATAGACATACAGACATGCCGTAAACGCCATTAGACTGCCAATACCATGATCAATCAAATGGCTATCTTCGATTATTGATTATCGTTCCGCATTTTCCATAATCTTGAACTGAATCTTGGCAATTTTTCGTGACTACTTCACGACCATGATACATGAATTTCTTAAATTGAACTTTTTGAGCCAAACACGTACACATATGATAAAATGAATGTCACCATCGTGTTCTACGCCCCAAATTACCTATAAAACATGTGTCACAGGCTGCGAATATCAGTTTTGATTTTCGGGGATATGTGCCTACCCGGTTGACCTGACCTTGACCCTGACCTATGCTTGACTGACCCCTACATGGAGCTGACACTCTTGTAGGCCTTATAAGATGGATTGTGCACCGTTTTGACAGAGTTTATGGCGAGAAGCGCCCATTGCGAAGTCCTGAAGTCCATGCTACTGAAAGCCCGATTTTAGGTGTTTGACCTGACCTTGACCCGACCCGTGACCTCAAAATTCAACTTTAAAGTACTCATCTGAAGCGTCTCGTCGCGCTCTTTCGTTTGCCGCCTCGTGCGTTTCGCTGCGCCTATTGGTTCTCGAGTTATCGGCTGGGGGCGTTTAACGCCCCCCCCCCCCCCCAGCAAACGGTGGGTGGCGAAATACCCCAGCAACTGCCGGGTTAAGGTCCTAGGTCGTCATCACTTGACCTTCCAGGTCAGGTCAATGACCCAAAAGTCGGGAAAATCGAGACCTGTTAGAGCATCGTAAAGGGTGGCTGCTATGTTTTTTTCGGGGTGATGATCACGAATATCATGTTAGTTATGATTATAGATGATGTCTTCATGCATTTAGGCCAGGTCGGGTCAGGTCAGGTCAGGTCAACCAGTAAGGGTTTTGCCGGGTGTTCGTAGTAGGTGGCAACCGCCAACCGCCTCTGACAGCCTCGTAACATGTTACGAAGGCACCAAAACTACTTCGCAAACGGTCAAATGGTTGCTAAATTCGAATTTAGCTCCAAAAACTAGCCTAGAATCTTATAGAACTCGAAAATGTGAACCGAGGTCATCAAAGGTAAATGACCTGACCTGACCTTCCGGTGACCTTGACACCCACCCTAATGCATGGGAGCAACATCATATCCCATGTTTGAACGTTTGAAACCACGAAAAGACTGCAAACGAGCGGCTAATGCGAGGCGACATGCGCCGAATCGCAATCCCGGCCAAACATGGTGCCATGGTGCTAGGCCGCCGGTGCATCTGAAAGAACTGTGGGTGCCCCTGACAAGCCTGAAGTTCCAACGACAGGCCCGTGGTGCCCCTGACAGGCCCATGATGCCCTTGCGAGGCCGTTGGTGTCCCTGCTAGGCCGGTGGTGCCTCTGCTAGGCCGCTGGTGCCCCTGGGCCCTGAGAGGACTGTGGTGCTCCTGACAAGCCTGGAGTGTCCCCGACAGGCACGTGGTGCCACTTACAGGCCCAAGATGTCCCTGCGAGGCCGGTGGTGCCCCTGCCAGGCATGTGGTGTCCCTGCTAGGCCTCTGGTTCCCCTGACAGGCCTGTGGTGTCCCTTGGCCCTGACAAGCTTGAGGTGCCCCCGACAGGCCCGTGGTGTCGCTGACAGGTCCGTGGTGCCCTTGCTAGGCCTGTGGTGCCTCTGGCAGGCCTGTGGTGCCCCTGGCGGGCCTGTGGTGGTATCCCTGACAGGCCCAAGGTGGCGCCCCTGCGAGGCCGGTGGGGCCTCTGGCAGGTCTGTGGTGCCCCTGGCAGACCTATGGTGCTCTTCCTAGGTCGATGGTGCTCCCAACAGGTCTGTGGTGCCCCTGACAGGCCGGTGGTGCCCCAGGCAGGCCTGTGGTGTCCCCGGGCCAAAGGGGGCGGGGGTCATAACCCATATGACCCACCATTGGATCCACCACTGGTCATTACTTGCAGACTGACTCATTTGACATCCATTGCAAAACAAGTCACAGTTGTATGTTTGTCACCGTGTTCCTTTATGCCCATTTTTATAGTGGGCACATCTCGACGACTGGGGGGGCAATTCTGTTGAGTGCGGGGGCATTTGCCCCCCCCCCCAGTTAACATGTTAAAATAGGCCCTGCCGGCCCAAGAGGCAAAGCAAAGACAAACTTTACGTTAGACCGGCTCATGTGGCGTCCGGTGGGTTGCAAAACAAAGGGAAGGCCGAAAAGGTGCCAGACAGGCGAGACCGATAAATTTGGTTACTTACATAGAGATTGCTGTTGAGACTTGCTGCTGTTTTGTGTGCTGTTGTTTGGTGTGTGTGTTGTTGTTGTGGGGTGAACTTTTACCAGGAAAAGTCCTAACTAGAAAAAACCTGGTGCCTAACCAAGAGGGCAAAAACCTGTGCTTTCAGCCAAAGTACACAGTAAAAAAGCCCTTTCTTTAATTACGTTATGTTACGTTACGTTATATCGCTAATGTGTATGTGTGTTTGTGGAGCTATCACCTTCATCCACTCCCGGGGGCCATGGATGCAAGCCACCTAGGCCGCGCCCGGGGTGTCCGGCCAGATAGCTTTAGTGTCTCGAGTGGGCCTCAACCTTTAAGAGGGATCCCTGTCGAGCTTACACACATATATATATATACACTTGGAAAAGGCGACCCGTGTGTAGGCAAAGGAGAACGAAAGCGAATGGAGGCAAAAACGAAGCGGATGGAAACGACGATGGAAGATCAAAGGACATCTATATACTGTGTGCAAGGTTGCGATCATATGCTATTGATGAGATTCGAATCACTGAGGAAGGTAAAGAGAAGTTCAATTAGATCTGGATGATCATCACCCAGGAGAGTTGGAAGGTCCAGGCTGAGGTTGTGTGTGTTTGTGTAGTGAATGATGTGTTGACGGTGTTGGTCGTAGTGTGGGCAGTTGAGAAGGAGGTGGGCAATGTTGAGTCGGGTGTGTGCGGCGCAGTGTGGACAGCTCGGGGGTGGCTCATTTTTTATGATAAAATCATGTGTTATCTTTGTGTGTCCTAGCCTCAATCTGGCTAGAACTATTTCCTTGAGTCGATTATCTTGATTAGAGGATGTGAAGTTACCAATTTGCGGGTGGATTTCAAAGAGATGATCGTAGGGAAGGGCCTGCCAGTCATACTGGCGCAGGTCTCGGAATGTGTGATTGAGGTGCGAAAGGATGTCTTGGTGTGTACAGCGATCTTCTTTACGATTAGAGAGATTAAGGCTTTGTTTGGCAAGCTCGTCGGCTTTTATGTTTCCCGGGATGCCACTATGT